AAAGTTTTGTCCATCACCTTCCAAAACACAACTAAGGGAAGCTGCCATTTGGGTTTTTTTCCTTTTTTTTTTTTTTTTGCCTATGAGAAGTCTGTGTGTTTGGCTTTTTTGGTGTCTTGCAGGTTAGCGGGAGAAATGTAACTCATGCATCAACTGTGGTTAGACAGATTTATGACACTTTGGGGACATGCTCTTTCCTCTCCCTGTGCTGCTGCAGACCGCTTACATTTTGCAAATAAGTCTGTTGCCAAGACGACAGGCTCCCCCACCTCCCTGGCTGCTTCTTGTTTTGTCATGTGCTCGGGGATGGATAATAGCATCAATGTATGGCGGCATTGATGTACGGCGGCGTCAATGTACAGTGCGCGCACGCACATGGGGGGGTTTGGGAACTTGGAAAGCTTAAGCTGAACCAGAGGGAGAGAAACCTGAAGGAGCCCAGGCGTAGGATGGATGGATGGATAGAAAAGAAGGAACAAGCATGAGGCTATGGGCAGGGAGAAAATAGGGAAATGCAAGGAGACAAATATCCCTCGGAAAAAGTGAGAACAAAGACCCCGTTGGTACTTACTTCCCCCTGGCTTTGCCATTGGTTACCTAGGTGAAGGTTACATGTAGTGCCACTGCCCCTCCATGCCCATATTCATGCCCATTCCACTCATAGGTCCTAGAGGGAGATAAAAATCCAAGAAGATGCCAGAGAATGAGCAAAGTCAACAGATAGTGCCAAAAGCCCCTTTCCAAAACACAGAACAGCAGAGGGTGTAGGGCCACTTGAGCAAGAAGATGCCTGGTTCCCATCGGCAATGTTGAAGGCAGACAGAAGACAGGTGAGGCAAGGCAGGCAGCTGAGACGACGGTGGAGGGCGAAGGTCCGGTTACCTGCACTGGTGTGACTGAGGTCACCCATCAGTGGGTGATGGTCCCATGGGGGCTTACCTGGTGCTCGGATGCCCATGTGCTGCTGGCCGTCCATCACAAAACCTCCCATCGGCTGCCCGTCAGGGTTATAAGGTGTTCCTTGACTTACTGGAAAAGCATAGAACATCGCTTTTTAGCGACAGCCAAAAGGGTCACCTCTTCTCACAGCAACAAGACACAATCCCCCACCCACAGACAGCATGAGATGGCTATCGATATCGGCTCTAAAAAGAGGGAAAAGCATCCACTGTTTGAATTTAGTGGCCAGGCTAACAAGCTTGCTTAGTTTTGGCTAGATTTCCTAGTGCAAGTTTGGAAATGAACTTAGCGATACAAAATCTCGAGACATGAGGAGCCCTGGCTGCAGCTGCTGCTGCTGCTGCCGTCAATGCAAAGACCTGTATAGGAGCTGGATTTTACAGCTGGAATAGTCACACTGAAATTGCAGTGTGTTAAATTACACCCTGTGTGCCTTTCTAAGAGCAGGACCTGAACACGTCCATGCCAGATATTTACCTCTAATGACAAAATAATCAAATGTACTCAAGGAGGAAGTATGGCCCAAAGGCATCTTGAACAATGACAGATTTGGATAGTTTGGCAGCGAGACTCAGAAAACAAAACCAACTGGGAGTAACCAGCTATCTCTCGATGGTAAATACCCACACAGAGTTGTGAGCCAAGATCCCAGACAGAACCAGCACATGAAAACTTGATATTTTTAAAAATAAAAATAAATACCTCCAAAGTAAAACCCAAACACTCAGTGATCCCCAAAGACAGCTACTAAAAAGAAGAGATGAGGGACAAAAGGACCCTATACAAGTACTACTACCTGAATTTGAGGTTTTAATTGTACATTAAAAGCCACTTTCAGAAGTAAGCTGCCTTGGGTTATTAAAGCACATAAAGCTCTACCTCATTGAATGTCTTTGAACTTTACTGAGTCCCACAAGCGATTCTGACCCTTTTGCCCTTTTGACAGGTAATAAAGTTTACAGCAATTCCACACCAAGCCATGCACCAGGGAGTGGTCACAGGAGTAGAAGAAGCTGGGAAAGAAAACTCAAAGTAACTACTAAAAAAATAAAAATAACTTTAATTCCAAATGTGATTTGGTCATAGAGCAGCTAATTTTGGGTTCTTTTTTGAATTTTCAATGTCTTTTTCCCTCAAAATAGTTTAAACTGTTAAAATTATTAGGGTTGTAATGAAACAAAGCTGGTTGTATTTTAATTGTCAATCACTCCCAGCATTCATTTCTCATTTATTTACCAGGTAACGGACCTCCCGGTGAATGGCTTGAGGATGGTTTTCGCCTGCGTGACTTGAATACAGTTACTATTGGGGACTTGCCTGCTCGGTTGGACTGGTCTATCATGGGCTGAACTATTCTTCTCCTAGCATTAATAAACCTGCAAGAAAAAAGAGAAAAGCAAATGGTTATTGAAGGGGACAACTTTCACTCATCCACAAGCTCTCTTGCCCTGCTGTGGTGCTTTCCATCAGGCTGCGTGATGATGCAAATATTGCAAAGCCTCTAACCCTGATGACCTTTGAGAGCACGAGCTTGGGGTTTCCAAGCTGATTTATGTTTGCCAGCTTTTTACCACAGTCAGACACCTCCATTTCATCTTTTCAGAGGGGAATTAGCCGAGTTTTCAGGAAACAATACCAGCAACGCTCTCCTCAATTCAGAATGGGGCACAAAAAAAAAAACGGGTGAAGCTGGCGAGATGCTCGTGAGGGCATCTGCTACCTCCCCCTCATTAGTGCTATTTCTGCCTTATGGCCTCCAACTTCTTTATTCCATTTTTTTTTTTTATCAAAACCTGCCCCTACCTCTTGCAAACCTAATTCCCTTTTAATGTCCACTATTAAGATAATGAACTGTGATGGCAGAACCCTATCAAATGAGGGAACGTCTGAAGTTTTATCACCACTAAGTCACACTGCTGGGGACCTCAGAGCAGTGCATTCCTCCTAGCCATTTTTTGGTGGGCTTTTGCCCCCTCCCCTCTTTATGCAAAGTCTGAGGGGTCAAGGTGAGGTCATAGCTTTACAGTAATTGAATTTATAATCCTGTTTTCTCCAGCTAGGCCTGACCATTTACAGCAAACATCTTGTTAAACTGTAATTACTGGACTACTGAAAATTCACTGCTGAACAATGAAAAGCAGAGCTTTGGAAATAGAAAAAAAGGTACAGTTGTTTTTAAAAACAGCCATCTGCAGCCTTGCACTTTTGTGACTTTTCACCTCAGTTAGTCTTGCTATACTTATTTGGGAAGGAAATATTCAAAATAATTTGGAGTGAAACAGAAGAAGGAGGGGAATCAGAAGTGCCCTGGTCTCCTCTGCAGGTAGTCCCTGTGGTACTGAAATCAGGAGGCTTAAAACCATGGCTGGTAACCTGTCTGAAGAGTTAGAAGAACTTCTTTTGCAGTTTTGCTTATCAGAAAACTTAGTTAAAAAACATTTGGAAAACATCTCCATCCAGATTTAATCACAGAAAAGCATCATTTACATTCTTTACAAGACAGAAAAATAATAATAGGAACACATATGCCACAATATTTACTAGTAAAGGAAGTAGCGTGAGTGTGGGTAAAACCACATTACACTTGGAAAGTGCAATGGGAAACTCCACAAAGGGCTACTTGCTGCTTGTTTTTGTTGCCCTTGCTTGGGATGGCTTAGCAGGAGCTCTCCTACTGCAGAGATAAACCCACCAGGACCTTCCTGTGGGAATCAGCTCTGCCCACCCATTCCCCCACACCAGCAGGGAGAAGAATCACAAGCCACTGCCCAGTGATGTTTGTTTTGCTCTCTTCAAAGACCAGCACAGCAATTTCGGTCTCCTACCTCCTGTTCCTGACTGATTCCCATTACCCAAACTCCTGCAAAAATTAATCAAGATGTTGAGTCATAATCAAACCTGTCTTGACAAAATGGGCTCAAAGGCACCAATTCCGGGTGCAGATCTGGAAACCTTACGCCTGAACTAGGTCATGTTTTGTCAGCAACAGTATTGGATCAATTTTTGTACACATTTCCAATAAAAAAACCAACCATCAACACTAGCAAACGGTGTTGCGAATCGGTTTATCATTATATTGTACAAACCATGAAAATTAGAATCATGTGAGCAGAAGGTTAGACTAATTCTCCTTTCTCATTATAAGCACAGGTGTAGCACAATCACCATGTGAAATAAGCAATTAAAAAAAATCTGCTTTTTTTCCCCCATTAGCTGCCTTAGCTCCATGACCAATTAGAAAATTGTTTAATACCTGTAATCTGCATTTGCAGAAAGCAATTTTCACAGTAACTCTCCTATGTAAAATAACAACACAGAACCCCAGTGCCCCAGCCATTTCCTTCACACAAGCCTGGCAGGCTCTCGCTGTGTTTACTTTTTCCTTCTCCTGCCTGAATGCCAGGACTTGTTACTGCGGCAGGATTTTGGTAACCGTGAGATTGGCTGATCCCCATAATATTCATTGCCAAAAGCTTTTACCACAGTGAAACCCCGAGCAACATTAAGTGGGCACACTTCACAACCTTCTCTTCCTTCTTCTCCAAACTACAAGCGCTTCTATTAAGAAGAGGGGGTGTCTCATAGTAATAAACTATATCGCTAGAAAAATAAACTATATAGCTAGAATTCACCAACAACCATCTACAAGATGTTCCTATGGTAAAACTTATTCTCACCTGTTTGCGGCATGCTATCGCTCAGGATATTTGCTTTAAGAACATTTTACACACAGGTATTTAACAGTTATCTTCTTCCTACGCATTCGTATAAGTATTTTCTGTAAGTAGCAATTCTGCCAATCAGGCCAGTGTTTGTATATCTTCGAGGGGAATTCAGACACAAGAACATTTTCCTTCTGGGCAAAGTAATAAAATGACATTCTTGCTCCTCCCACTAGAAGTCAAACAGAGGTCAGCTCCCCATCCTTGTATCTGTTTAAATAAACTGGTCCAGCTGTTTGTTTCCAGGATGCCCTTTAACCTTCTGTCCCATCCTCCCTGCCTTTGTAACAGAAAGCTTTACTTTGCATTATAGTAGACTCCAAACCACTATGCATTAAAAAAAAAAAGGGAAGAAAGTATGCACTTTCAAGTTTCTTCCTGCATCCAAAACCTAGAATTTGCAAGAACCCATCGGATTAAAACTATTAATGTGGCTTGCTTGAAAGAGCACAATGCAGTGCTGTTACATTTATAAATCACATCGGAGAATTCTTTGCAAGCAAAACTGTGAATTAGCTGTTGCTGCAGACATACACAGGCATGGGAGGATAATTTCTTAATACTGTTTTCTTTTCTTTGATAGAAAGGCCGAGATCTTTTGATCGCTCTGAATTTCCAAAGCACCAGGCTGATGTAACACCAGCAAAAATGACAGAACAGGAAAGCTAACATGAAAAATCTCACTGCTTCTTTTCCCCTATGTTCACATTTACCTATATCAGGAGAAAGAAACCCTAAATCATTCTAATACCTAAAGGTTCAAAGGAATCAAGACGTAAAAAATATATTTGCATATTAAGTGTTACTCAAATGTAGTATTCGCAAAATACGACTCAGCATAAAACTTAATGATTAAGACAGCCGCATAACCTTACTCATGTGAGTAAAGACCTGCACAGGCTCAAACACTTGCATAACATCTTTTTCCCCATACCAGTGCTCTATGTATTGGTACCTTTGCTCCAATGTGGAAGTGGTTTTTTAGTTTGGGTTTTTTCCCCCGCAAAGAGCAGAATCAATAGCAGCACAAACAACACAAGTTCCCTCAGTGTACAAGATGTACCTGTCTCCCTGCCCAAGGAGAGATGAGAACCCTTTTTTTTTTTTCCAAGGGAAGGATCTGGCATGCAGGAAACATTGGGAAAACACAGAAGTGTAAAGTATTTATTATTTTTTCAAGTTAACTTTTCCTTGCCCTTTTGGATACTTGAGATCGTGCTTTCTGTTGTGTTGCCAAAAGCAAGAAAAAACAGCTATTCCACCTGCACAACCCTAAGGGGGAGGAGGAAACCCTCTTTTCTTCAATTTGCATTTTACTAGGATGTTTTCTCTTAGACATCTCGCCCAGGGTCTGTCTCCAGAGGTCACTGGCAGTCTCCCTGGTTGGTGCATCACCAGTCCCACGGGTACGATCCAGTCCCGGCCCCAAAGGTGCAGAAATCCGCCTCTGCACTCTGACCTTCAGCTTGGCCGCCCTCGCTGCCACGCACAAGTTTTGTTTCTTCTCAGCGAGAGGCGGCATGGCTGGTGATGACAAAAGACTTATTTTAGTTGGAAACTGGCTACAATAATAGCAGCCAGAGAGCAAGGATTTTCAGAGGGTCACCAAACCCTCCGAAAGGCACAGCTCACTAAGGCTCAGGTTACAGCTCGAGTGACATTTTCCACACAGATCTGTTCTTTCTCTCTTCTCCTTGTATTTCACTTCTGTTGAGTGAATAAAATGAGACCTTTCTTTGTTGTCACAAATTTTCAAAGTCACCTTTGCTCAAGAATCAACAGAACAATCGTGGGGACTTCCAATTTGCAGTCCTTGAATGAAATTTTCCAGGACCAGCTGTCTTAAAGGAGATGCTGAGACTTAGTGGTATATTGAATTTTTCTCTCCTCCTAGCCCTCCCAAATGAAGAGAGTTTCACACCATTACTGACTTTTGATACTTGGAGTTGCAGGCTGCTCCCCCTCAATATTGTCCCATAGTGTCGCATGCCAGAAGTCTGTTTATCACTAGTAGTGCCAAGAAATTTCTAAAAATCTCTCTGCCTCATTTGCTCCTTGAGCTCCTTCTAGCAAACCAGGCATAAAGACAATGAGAAAGCCCACAGTACCTACAAACCCCAGTGCTAAAATCTCTCTTGCCCCTCTGAAAAAATCCTGTATCCCTCTTGACAAAAAAAAAAATATATTTTTTTTTAATAACAGATGCCAAAGTAAGCAGAGCCCTTCAAACTGGCTAATAATTCACTTGTAAAATCAGCCGTACTCTTTTCTACATACTAGGATACTTCATTTATACAGCAGTGAAACAACCTTCTCTATTCAGCACTTAACAGGTTTATCTAATAAAAACAATTTTAATAGAAAGTGTGCTATAAACCACGATTATTACACTTCAGTAACTGTTTTATTTCTTATTTTAACATATTTTCATTTTTTTTTCTGTGTATTTGTTTTCCAGAGCTTTTTAAAGGAGTCAGTTAAAGAAAATGAAAAAAACTCTAGAAATTATTTCACTGAAAACTTTCGCGTTTTAAAAACAGCCTTAAAAATAGCAAGCTCCCTCTGTAATTATGAACAGAAAAAATAACTGCAGACTTATGAATGGTAATCACATCTTCCCAATCCTAAATGAGAAATAAATGTTAAAATGAGAA